ATAAAAGTTTTCTTCCGTTTTAATTATCTTATATAAAAATTTATTTTTTTGCTTTTTTTAATAAGCCAAAAAAAAAATTTTTATAATATTATAATAAAAATTCTAATAAGAATTTTATCATAAACTTTGAAAAAGAAAATGAAAAAAAAAGGTGATACGAAAGAAAAATGCATGAAGAGATACATGTATGTACAACAAGTCTGCATGTATGTATGTATGTATGTATGTAAGTATAAATTACTTGTAAGTGTTCCTCACAAAAAAAAAACCTGTATAAAAGGATATGTTTTCTGCCTTACTTAACTATATTTTAGAAGGAAAAAGTTTTTCTTTTCCTTGTTTCTGTCATTTAGTTAATTATTTAACTTTTCTTAATTGTTGTTGTTACTGTTGTGTTTTGTTTTTGGTTTCGCATAAATGGCCTTTGTTTGCTTTATGACTTTTTCTTTAGCTTTTATTTATATACGTATATATTTTCTTTTTATTTTTTATTTATTTATTTGTTTTTCGTTTTTTTTTTTATATATATATTTTCTTGTTTGTTTTCCTGTTATTGTTTTCCATAAAGTAATTCTTTGGTATTTCCTATTAATTAAAGAACAGAAAAAAATATAAAAACAAAATAAGAAAAACTCAAAAATCATAACAATGAGTTTAGGTTTGTGTTTTACAAGACTTTCATGTGTTTTGCATAATAATAATATAATAATAATAATAATAATAATCTTGTGGCAACATTTACCACAATTTCTTGATTTAGAAAATGTACACATACACACACATATACACACAGTTACATAAATATATGTATTTATATAAACATTTATATAACGTTAGCAGCTTAAACTTATTTTCAGACATTTTTCACTTTTCCGTACCCGCCATTACCTCGCCAAATAAAATCAGATACTTTTGCTCTTTCATTTGTGTGTTTTTTTCAAGTTTTCAAGTGCAAATACTTTTTTAAAAATAATTTAAAGTAACCATCAATGTACTTTTCTGTTATTTTAAACGGAACATCTTTCGGAGCTAACGGATTGGTCTATAAACACATCATAAAGTGCAAGAACGATTAGAATTTCAGTTAGAGTTAATTTAGAAAAAAAAAAAAAAAAAATAAGTAAAAACACTACCATGTTGTAGTGTGGCACGGGTCAATCCTATACTATATGCCATCTACCACTTCGTTTAATGCACTTATTAATATAACAACTTTCCAAAATAAGGTGGAATATGGGGAGTGGTCCAAGACATGGTCGGATGTGAATCATTTTCAATAGCGTCCGTCCTTGGGTCAAAACACATGCGTGCACCAAGTTACATCAAAGTCGAAAACAAGGCGGACACACAGATCGACAAGCTTACATGGGTTCAGAAATTGATTGTTAATCTGTATGTGTATGAAGTGGTGGGTTCTATCTATCTATCCACCAGGTGCTATATATGTTTAATATACCACGAATTGCGCCTTGTTGGTTGAATATAAGAAAAAAGACCGACCGACGAACGGATAAGCTTAGATCGATTCAGAAAGTGATTCTCAATGGATTCGTAAAATAGTAGGTGGTGAATCTGTCTTAGTCCAATTCCATATTATTACAATCAAGAAATGTCGAAAAAAAAAAGGTCGTGGCGTTTTTCCCAGGACACTGCTTTAGACTAGTGTATTCGCAAACCCGGGAACACAATTTCTAATGATTATCGTAGGGCCGCGTTCGTTGATATATTCAAAGAAACTCGGAACTAAATATTTGTCTAAAGCTCGATGTAAAAATATATGAGTAAGTAGGTAGCAAGCGACCATAATCAGTGGAAATAATCATGGTCGAATGAATGAAGATGCAGAAACGATACCAAAGAATGAATTGATTCGAAGTAACTTTCCACGCGCCTTGTGTTTGGACGAACTGGGAGTGAATCGAGTGTCATAAACTGTTCCAGCCTGGCCAGACAATTGATTCCACTCCCTACTTCGATTAAAGGGTAACGACCAGATGTGATAAATAGGCAAAGCTTAGTTTTCCATATACCTTTAATAACTCCACCGACAAAACTGGGCTGGGAAGTTATGAAGTATCTACTATACTGATGCGAGAAAATGGTAGGAACTTTTCCTTGACATAATACATCGTAGTCGAGGTACAGGTAGTTAAAAACTTACGTTATAAGAATAGATTAAATAGGCTTCCTTTCTTTTCTATTCTTCCTAAAAGCGACGCTTTCATGTCTGTTATGAGGATACCGCATTGTTCTGTTGATAAGAAGCGCGGTCAGCAAATTTACACTCAGGTTTCATTGCGCGAGAAACAAACGGTAGTTTGCGATTGATATGCTGCTATAGCTATAGTGCATACTCCACGTTAAAGTTGTAGCACTCACTAATAGGAAGTACACTTCGCAGACCTCTCACAACCTATGCCTCTTTCGCCACTTTTTTTCTCCTCGACAATTGCCATGCTTATGACCATGCATGGTCTTAAATTGATGCTTGACTTTTACTTCATACAAATACTTATTGGATAATGTCAAGTTTTATATAGGAAGGATTTCAAATGTGTACGACATACTTTATCATACAGATGCGACATTTTCAGCACTATAGACCGAATGTACGGTTGATGAGATACACCGAGTGACCTTCAGTCACAGATTTGCAATCAATCCAAAGCGAAGATATCTTTTCCGTTACAGCAATTCATTGATATTGCGATAAATGCTAGCGGACGTTTCCAACAACGAAACTTTCATTACTTGCACGATTAAGTAGATACCTGAATGAAGAACGGCCATGGAAGAGACGTTCAATACGGTCATCTAGTGAGAATATTTCATGGCAACTTTATTGTAATAGTATCCTAGAATTACATATCAACCTATCTGTGAACACTCTGGAGTTGCACAAGATAGTCATCCCGGTTCTGTTTTGCTTGTCTTCTGCATCGATGACTTAGCAAATATTATAAAACGTATGCTGACATTTAACGTATCTATAGGCCGAGCAATCGGTCAACCCCACGTTTATCTTCAGAAGGATCGCGATAACTTTTACAAATGGTGGTGTATTAACCTATTATCCCCAAATATTAACATAGTGTGTTACCAGGCCAATGCGTTGAATACGTCGTATAAAATCAATGATGTGCAAATTGGTAAATCAGCTTCAATTACTAATCTTGGAGTCGTGTCGGATGGAAAATTGTTCTTCAGCACGCCAATGAACCAAAAAGTTTCGCGATCGTTACACTACCCAATTAGCCTGGAATTCTGTTCGATTATCTGGCATCCACAATACCGCAAACATACAAAAACTGTTTTTAATTTGCCTTCCCTCTTATAGAAACAGTTCACCCTTTATTAAGTTGCCCGTTCACGAAAGCAGATGTGTCATGCTAAGTGTGTCTTTTGCTCATAAGCTTCTGAATTTCGGATCTGATTCCGAGCATTTGATATCAACAATATACGTATATGTTCCGCACCGAGTGTCTAGGCCTGTTCAATATACGTAATATATATATGATTACAGAACAAACTATGAAAACAACGATTCTATGCGAAGGTTGTGTAAACAATATAATGAGAATTATGTATACTTCTGCTATAAAGTCGAAAATGATTAAACACTTGATCACTCTATAATAAAAGCACTTAGTCACTCTGTTTGGTGATCAGGTGAACCATGGTGTTTTTGTGATTACAAGTTTTCCGATTTTTATGTTTGCGGTTAAATTTACGATGTCCGTAATGTCAAAACAAAAAAAAGCAATAGTCTTCAAAAGGCATTTGAAGAACATCAATTGTCACTTAGTGAGTGGTTCTCTTTCTGACCCTTAAAAATTATTCCCTAAAATATCGATATATTCGACGGCGGCTGGTGGGTACACAAGAATAGGATCAATTCTCACTTTAGTTTCTCTATAAACTAAATTATAGGATAGTTTTTTTTTTCTTTTTTCAATGTAATTATGAGATTTCGTTTGAGAGCTTTTCTATTTATGTTCATGGCGGCTTTTTTCTACTTTCTTTTTCATTTTTTGCTTTTTTTTTTACATTTACAATATTTTCATATGTTTCGGATTTAACTTAATTCTAAGCATTATTTGTCCATTTTGAAAATTTCATTTTTCGTTATAGTATTATATTTAATTATACGTAACATTAAATTTACTGTGGGTTTTTTGTTTTTATTTCTGTTTTTTTTTTTTTTTTGTTCCATTTTAAACGCAATGATATGCTTACGTAAAAATATTCTATTCGATATCAATTATTTACTAATAATGGCTTTAGCTTTTTAATTGTAAACATTCACAAGCTCTTTAAATTTTTTCCTCTTTTTTTTTGCTATTATTTCTCGTCCTTTTTTTTGGGGGGGTTTTTGTGAATTATTTTGAATTTTTACATCGTACTTACAGCGGGAATGTAAATCGTTGAAAAAAACATTTGAAAATATTTCTCATTTTTATTGTTAAACAGTAGTAGGCGTAGGAGTTGAAATGGAAAGTTATGTAGTTAAAGGAAGCGGAGAAAACAAAAATAGAGCTAATAAAAATAAATCGATTTTATATGCGAGGTGTAAACTTGTAAGCACGTGTGTGTAGTTTATAGAGAATATATTCTTCCTTTTCTTTTTTTCCTTTGGTTTTTAATATTTTCACTGAAAGAGAAAATGGCTCGGGCTCGGTATTCATAGTCAGCAATCAATACTTATACAATATTTGAAATTTGTAATGTATTTGTATAGGAATCAGGAGGAGTGCTCCTAGTCAGCAATCAATACGTTTTGCACCATTCGAAATGTTTTTCTATACGTATGAGATAAGGTTTCATACTTTGTCAGTTTCTTTCAGATTTTCGGTGAAAGAATTTTATGAATTTTGTAGACTTTCGTTTTATTATGCCTCTCTCCAAGATGAGGTTATATTTTGCAGTTAAATTTTCACATTTCAAAATTTGTTATAATCTTTATGAGAATTATATTGAAAATCAAAATGTAAAAACTCTTATTTACCCTTCCCTTGAGCTTTAAATTATTTTAAAAAAAAATTATAATAATAATAATAATACATCAAGAATACTTTTAAATGACATTAAGATTTAAATACTCTTAGGAGTGTTATTAGGAAAATCATTTAAAATTACATAAAATAAATCAATTTTAAAAAAACAAAAAAAAATAAAAAAACTCCCACTAAACTAAAAATACTTACGACGACCTACATAGTTAGAAAAAAAAACCAGACATAACTAGTCTGCTAAACAAAGCAAAAACAAAAAAAAGAGAGAAGCAATTAAATTATTTGTATAAATTTATAAAGAGTTTGTGAATCTATTCTCCAAGCGTTTCAATGGGTTTAATAAAAATGAAAAGTTAATGCACTAGAAACTGAGTTAATAAAAACAAAGACTCAAAAATTTTCATTAAAAATGTAAAGGACTCTCAAATGACCTCAATTGAATTACGTTGTTTTTGAAAAAGCTTATATTTTCTCCCCAAAAAAAAAAAAAAAAAAAAACATATGAATACTTTTGAAATCGTGGCTTGCTTTGAAAAGTTTAGACATTTAAATGCGAGTAAAATGGTAAAGCAATTCTTAGAAATTTTTGGTTTAAAACTGAGCATTCATTGACGATCACATACTATTATAAAACTGCTACATATATACAAATGTCTTTGTATTCTTTTATATTGTCCTCCATTTTATGCTCTCTTTATGAAACTCTTATATATATATTGACTTTAGTTTGTTTCTTTTTTGTCTCGTTTTGTGCTTGTATGGACGCTTACATTTGATTTGTTTTCTTTTTTTTTTTTAACTATTTTTCTCACAACTTAAAACTAAAACGTAACTAAAACATCAAAATATATTTACATTGTTTGTATGTAAGTGTATGTAAACATTTACATACATTTAATTGTACTTAGACCTAAAGTACTTACTTACTTACTTATACTCACGCACACTCGTACTGCACTTCAAACTGCAGTAGCAGTGGTTGTGGTGGTTCTACATCTAACAAATATGCTTACGTTTATATACATTTGAATGCATGCATATAACAACGCTACTTGGCCAGCCTTTTTGGTGTTGTTGCGGTGGTGTTGAGTAAAAAGGACCCACACAGACTCTCTACACTTGCTGTGTGTGTAGTGAGTTGTTGTCCTTTTCACTCCTTGAGCTTTTTTGGCTGGGAATATTGTTAGACACTATTGTCAGTACAGGAATTTCGGTACTTGTGCTCATGGCTTCAACAGCAATTGCTGATGATGACGGCCACGTCGTCGTCGACAATGGCAACGTCGTTGTAGTCGCTGACGTATGTGCTGTTATATAATTGCACATCGCCGACGGCTGACGTTTAATCATCATTTGACTTGATTTGACGGCAATCCATTCATTGCGCGCCGCATCAAACCACGTTAAGCCCAAATTATAACGGCCATTCAAATTGGCATGCTGACAATGAGAGAACCACCACCCACCCTCATAGTTAGCAGCACAGTGCGTTTGTGAGATATCGCGATCTACATCAATGGCCGAAAATTGCATGCCCTGCTGATAATCCAAAGCATCGGAAGCATTGCCACTGTAGCCGTCTATGTGCAAACGATAGCCATCCAAGCGCGACGAAATGTAAAATTGATTGTATTCGGCCAGCCAAACATTGTCATAGATGTCTTGCATGAGTACACGCAATCTGGTGCAATTGTTTAATGTCAATTGATGCAGCTGTTCGTTGCCAATCCAAAATTCGCCGGCCGGCGAACCAAAACCGTTTGCGTAATCTTCCCAAGAACGATTAAAATCTGCGCTGCCATCGTAGCGCCGCTGTATACTAGTCCAACCATCGTCGGAGCAATGAACCAGCATGGGATGATGCGGTTGACCGTTTGGTGCAATCAAAAAGAGACCGTCATCATTTGGCTGGCTTGAGTGCGATACTTCGCTGCAGTCTATGGGTAATTTTTTAATAATCGACTCAAACTCTTGTTCAACATTTTCCAACTTAGCTACCAAAGTTTCAGCATTTTGCGCAGATACCGTGCGATTATTATGGTATTTCTATAATAGGATAAATTAAAGAATAAAAAAAAAAAAAATAAAAGAAAATTCATACCGTTTAACATAATTTAACATCATCTACTTTAAGGATTTTGTCTTAAATACGAATTGTTGCCTATATTCAAGCATAAATTTAGCAAAGGAACATCTTACATTTTAACTTGACATTTCAAGAAACTCTTAAAAGAATTTCCCTCACACTCTCTCGAGCACACATACTTAAACATCAGACAAGACGTTTGTGCTTAATTTAGTGGCAGAAAATGAAAAGGAAAAATTCGCACAACTAAACAAAATCTAACCATTTGTGTCAAATGTTGTTACAGTTTTCGTTTCTTTTCACCCACCTTATTATCCCGTTTATCGATGCTGCCACGATGTTTATAGATGAGAGCACGTTGCACATCATCTAACATATTTTGTAAACGATCCATTTTCATGCGTAATTCACTTACGCTTGACTGCATTCTTCTAACGCTGTCACGTTCCTCTTGCAATGTACTGATACTGACTGCCAATGCCTGTACCGAACGTGCCACATTCTTGCCCTCCTCTCGCACAATGTTCTGTTCGGACAACAATTGAGCATTTGAAAATTCCAGCTTAGATATTTCATGCCTCAATTCGGGCATATTTTTATCAACTTTATTCTGTACATCTTCTACATCTTCGAGCAATTCCAACATTGAAGAGTGCAGCTTATCCAATGACGCTATTTGGCGACTTAGATTGAAATTGGCATCTGCTATACGATGCTGTTCGATTTCAATGCTACGTACCCGTTCACCCAAACGTTGGTATTTCAATTCATTAAACTGACGTTTTAGTTGACGTTGAGCAAGTTGCAATTCATGAATTTGTTGACGTTGATAACGGCAATGACGACGTTTGTGGTCAGCCATTAGATCGGCTGATATCTAATGTGAAAAGTTTTTAATAAAATTAAAATTATTTATCGATATGAAAGAGCATGCCATAAGGCATTTATTAGATTATAGTTAATTAATTTGGTTTTTCTTTTTTCATTTTTTAACTTTTCCGTCTCATTTTTTGATTCTATGATGCATAAAGTTTAAATGAAATAGATTTTAAAAAATTCAAATCTGTTTATTTAAATAAAAACAAAACTAGTAAATGTAAATAACTCAAATTGAAACTGCATACATTTAGGATTTTATAAGATTAATTAAAAGCATAGTATGCACTCAGGCGAATAATCAATAAAATCTAACAAGTTTCAGGGTATTTATAGGTATTTAAATGGAAAACCTAAACTTAATTCTGTGACAATGAAAGTTATCAAGAAACTACACTGACATTATGAAGCCAATGAATGAGAAAATATCAAATAAATTATTTCTGATAAAACATTTTTAAAAGGAAAAGAGCTTTTGTTTGTTATGAAATTCTTTGAAAAAAATTCTTTAAAATGCTTTGAAATTGACCACTTAATATCTGACGAACCTTGAAACATCTATAACGAAAAGATTATGGGGACCTTCCTTATTCGAATTTTTGAAAATGAATAGTCATGATATACATTATATAAAAGCGTGCAGTTTAAAATGAAGAGATTAGATATATGAGGAAGAAGGTAGAGTTAGGTCGCATCGTAACTAACTTAGAAATGGTTAAAACAATGAATTGCTTAAAAGGAAGGAAGACATAGATATTATATCGCATATTTCTCTGATTAGGTAATAAGCAAAAATCCAGGAGAAGAAGAAGAAAGATGAGACGCAAGATCACACAACTAACTGCAATTTTATAATAAGTAAAAAGGGTAGAGATACGTCGTCGCCAAACTACCTTAAAAACGTTTAAAAGGACAGACGAAGACAAAATGTAGGGCACAGAGCTCACACCTCTTTCAGACTCGGCCTGCATATTAAATATGTATATCTGCGAATGAAAGAGATTTTCTCGATCCTCAAGGAAGAGAGTTCTTGACAGGACACGAGGCGGCTTTTTGAAGGCGTAATGCAAGCTTTCTTCAATATTTCTTCAGAACTAATTACGTGGAAAGTGTTGTCTTCATCATAAAGTTACGAATTGGATAACGGTAAATTAGTGCACATATGCTGCAAAGAAAATTCGGACGGAGAAGCTAGATGAAGTGATGAAAAAATGTAATTGACATGCCTTTGGACTTGGAAGCATAGGCATCTTTACTGTGTCTCTAGTGTACCTAGAATATCTGGAGAGCTGCCCTAAAAAGTTTAAACGGATCGCTAAGGACCCATCTTCTGCAATCGGCCATAGAGAGATGCTTTCGCCAGAAAGCTTACCGGATTTAAATACAAAACACATTTACTACAAATTTCTTCTCATAATAGATTTTTCCAATTATGTTTTTCCCAACACACATACACAACTACTCTTCTCTAAAGTGCTCATTACTTTGGTATATCATTTGTGAATTTTTCTTCAATTTTTAATTAAGGTTTAATTTATTTTCGCCACTGCTTTAATGTAAATATGCTAAAATGAATGAAACAGATGCCTAAAGTACACGCGTGAAAATTTATATGCATGTAAAACGAATATAAGCGACTTAATATATCATAAGAGCATATACATGGAGGGTTGTACTACACGTGCAGATCGTATACAAAATTTTAAGTTTTAAATACACACATAAATAAATATATAAATATGCTCTTGTATACAAGTGTGTAATGTACACGTTACATCTCATATAATACATGAATTTATTAACACACACAATAGCGACTGCAAATTAAGTTAAAATACTTTCGTTATAACTGTGCATGAACGTGTAAGTGAATGTATATATAGTTTTTAATGAAAAAGAGTCCAATATAACCGGTTTATAACTATATTTCGCTTTTAACCATGTTATTAAAGATATAAACTGTTTATTAAAACATGATGTTCTCATCGTCATCTTCCACCACCATTATCATCATCATCATCATCATCATCATCATCGTCATTATCATTTATGGGTCGTAAATTCATTTCTTTTTTTCTTTTTTTTTTTTTTTTGCTCTTTCTTCTTCTTGGTTCGTAAGCAAAGACAGACAAACTGGTTTTTATATACAGTTTCTCTTGGCCTTTTTTATAAAGGACAGTTTTGACTTATATAAGGATTTATATGTAAGCGAAAAAGATACGCTTGTTAATGTGTGTATGTGAGAGCATGAGAAGCAGCTGTTTTCATTCAATTCAAGTGATGAGAAAATTGTTTTATAAAATTTTGGTTTTCTTCGTATGTATTCTTTAGCCAGATGTTTGATAAGCATTCAAAAGTGCTTCTTTCTTCTTTTTTATTAATCACAAGGGATTACATTAATATTCTCAATTCATTTGCGGTATAACGAAATACGTAAAAGTGCTATGCAAAACTAGTTAATAATGCCTTTAAGGTATGATTGGTTTCGACTTGATAAGGAATTACTGCTAATAAAACAAATAAATTTGCAATAATAACCTTTCATTGATTGCATGGATCAGTTGCATAACTTCAGTATCGGGTTTTTAGCAACATACGCTTAAATGCTGACCTACATTTAGTTTTAGATGCATTCAATTATTTGGAAAAACAATTCCGATACTGCGGAGTTCAGAACTTTTCGCCACTTCAAACGAAGTATACCTCAAACGAAGCATACAATATTGCATTGTCTTCTTAATAAGCCTTAATCATGAGACACTAGAAAATCTGAAGTTATAAAATCTACGCTGATATGAACTATCCCTCTCTAATTAAGATAAATGAATTCAAAAATATTATACCTCCACAACCCAAATGCGATTATTAAATTCAAGGTAACCTCAAATTCGGTTATTACTCAGAAAACTTGGCGTCGCTTCAGAACAGACACACAAATTGAATGCAAGCGTGCGTATGCGGAGATCAAACGAATTGATTTTCTCAAACTTTCTTGATGCAAAAATTAATAAGTGTTTCTTTTGTTTCCACATACATTGGCAAACTGTGTTTTTGTTTTTTTCAAGCAAAACAGACATTGATTTGTGATTCTATAATATATTGTCAGGCGGCGGAAAACGCAAACACCGCCATTCGGTAAATAATTTTCATTGGTCGCAATAAGCAAGACTCTCGCCAGTAATTTGTCTAAGAAACCTTCCCGTTTGTTTTATTTCGTAGTAGGCCTGAATCTAATCGATAATTAACAGTATGCTGGCGTTGTTTAAATCTTTGGTCCTTATACTCCCCACCCGTCGCTTTTGTCGATTGAATTATTTAGTAAGATCTCCGGACATGCATGATTCTCAATTGTTTCGTTTTCATTTACAAGCAAGCTCGTTCATAAAAATAATCAAATAATTGTTCGATCGTAGCACAGGCGATCGCCATTCAACCTAAATTACTGGCCTAGAACTAACGAAATCTATGAGCCTCCTTTCCGAAAGGAACTGTCCACGACATTCAAATTTTGCAAATTTTTCTACAAGTATGCTTCACACAATACCCATAGTCGCTGAGATCGGCTGATAATCAGTGGGTTCGAGGATCATCTTGTGAAGACTTGGACTATTGTCGTCATATGTAGCTCTTCTACTTCTGACCCTTGAATGTTGCTGACCAGGGGCATGTTGTAAAGTGTGGAAAATAACGCGATTTTTCAGTTTATGTTTTACTTTAATTCGGCGTATTTTCAATAACATCCTAACTGCAATAACTTGCAAATTTTTTTTTTAAAGTTTAGGCAAATATTTAAATTTTTACGACGAAGAAAGCGTACCGGCCAAGATTATATACAGCCTATTAAGGTTCTGAAGCTTCTTTCGGGATGTTGCAAACGTTTTAATAAAATGACTACATCCCGATAACGTCAGGGCCACATATAATAAAAATTTCGGTAAAGGCACAACGATTATCGATTGGGCTCCCATCCACTACTCTGCGTCCACCAACTCCATATTTTTTTCTTTCATCCTCCTTCCTCACTTCTTTCTGGCCATCACGGCCTTACGCGAATAGGAGACATTACCTGCACGCCAAGAATATTCAGATTACATAGATAAGCTCCAAACTGGACAAGAACTTTATTCTTATTTTTTGTACCGTAGAACACTTGTAGTACGAAGGTGTATTAAGGTAGTGCGGATGCATGCAACACCCAGAATGTCTTGAGATCCATCCTTTATTACATCAATCGATGTAGAAATAATTCTGCTGTCATGGTTGCTAAGTTTGTCTGTTCGTCTGTCTGCCTTTTTTTTCTTGTGTTCAAACTACAAGCCGCAATTTTTGAGACATGTTGATGAAATTTGGTACACTGGCGTGTTTTGACGCAAGGAGGAAAATGGTTTGGGTCGGATTCATATAACTCCTTACTTTGAAAAGCCGCTATATGGATAACTGCAATGTAGTGTAGCGCGTTTCATGGTGGCCCCTGCCACCACTATAGCGTTTTTGCCTATTTCTCTTATGCCGTTTTTTGCACGAAAACTCACCGCTTAACATATTTGACATTATTTTTATGCCACCTATTCCTTGCGGAAAGAGAATAACAAAAGAAAGGCAAAAATTTGTATGCTTTCACTGAGAAGAATAAAAGATAAGAAAAATGCAACCGTAATTGGCTTAAATGTATTTTAGAGACGATAAACCCTTGCGTTAAACATCATCTTCTAAACGGTAAACTAAAACAACAACAAAGTAGAAATGAAAAGTTTTTAAAAAAATTTCGTATTAAATGTCATTGTATTCAAAGGCCTATGTAAGATTACTTTTGCAACATTTGTAAACGCTCTACTAAGAGCTTTGCCTTAAGAAGGGAAACTCTTAGTAGTGCGGTAAACTGATGGAGCAACAAATGAATCGCAGTCTTTTAGTATATTTGTAAAGAAATTTCAGCACAGCCACTGAATTGAAAATCGTGTAGTTTAATTTCAAATGCGATTACTGGTAAATGTGTTTACA